GGGGGGGGAGGAGGAGCAGCAGCAGCAGCAGCAGGAGCAGGAGGAGGAGGAAGAGGAGGAGGAGGAAGAAGAGGAGGAGGAGGTGGAGGAGGAGCAGGAGCAGGAACAGGAGGAGGAGGGGGAGGAGGAGGATGAGGAGGATGAGGGGGAGGAGAAAGAGGAGGAGGCGGCTGAGGAGGAGGGGGGGAGGATGAGGAGGAGCAGGAGGAGGAGGAGGAAGAGACGGTGGAGGAGGAGGTGGACGAGGGAGAGGAGAGGAGATGCACCACACTAATATTCATCACCTTTTCAAGGAGAATATTACGACTACTACGACGTACACTAACACACCTAATAAGACGAACGCTATGTTTTATTAACACTAGTACTTTCCAAACTAAAAGTCTGATCTCTGATCATGTTCATAACGATAATACTAATACTCGCCATTTCCAACATACTGATCTTACTAATCATATACAGCATACGATTGCTAATCATACTGCTAATGCTAATACTAAGAGTCGCAATTGAATCACGAATAGTACTACGAAGAAGACTACGGCTACGACTAGTACTAACAAGCAGAACGCTGATAGGAATAATCCGAACGAGGAGGACAAGGAGGGGGAGGATAGTGGCGACTAGGGAGGAGGAGGATGAGGAGGATCATGCTGATGAGGAGGCGGATAAAGAGGCGGAGGAGGAGGAGGAGGAGGAGGAGGAGGAGGAGGAGGAGGGAGGAGGGAGGAGGGAGGAGGAGGAGGAGGAGGAGGAGGAGGAGGAGGAGGAGGAGGAGGAGAGGACGAGCATGAGGGGGAGGAGGAGGAGGAGGAAAAGGAAGGAGGAGGAGGTGGAGGAGGAGGAGGGGGATGATGAGGAGGAGGAGGAGGAGAACATGGGAGCGTTGGAGTCAGGTTGGGAGACCGAAAGAAGAGAACGCCCGAATCCGTACCCCAAGAAAACCCATGAATGTTGATTATTTGGGCTATTTTGGAAGGGCTTTTGGAGGCGATTGTGGCGTCTTGGAGACCTCGTTGGCCGTCTGGAGGCTATCTCCTGGCGTCCAGGACTAATCGTTCGTCGATTCGGGGCCGTCTTCGGGGCCTCTTGGGGCGCTCGTGGCCCCTCTGTGCCTTTTCTTACGGCCCTGAGACCGCCCAGGGGGGTTATGGTATTCTGACCCGCCCCCCCCTGCCCTCCCCTCCACCCCTCCCTGGGACCCCCCCCCGGAGGAAGGGTTTTCCCTTCGAGTCAACTTCGACGCTGCTCAAGTTCTGTTCGGTTTCGCTTTGGCTAGCGCGCCAGAGGTTTAGGTTCGGTTTCGCTGTGGCTGGCGCGCTGGAGGAGGAGAAGGAGGACACAATGACTGCGACGACGACGACGACGACGACGACGACGACGACGACGACGACGACGACGAGTCAACCAGAACGACGACGACGACGCTCCGGATTCCGATGACGACGATGAGTCAGACAGAACAGTGTCTCCCACACGCCGACAGTGTCGGCGGATTTGGCGTATCAGCAAACATCGCTAAAGACGCGTCCAGGAATACAGCGCAACTGTCGTGAATCCAGCTGGCATGCCTCCTGAGGGCCCAACCCGTGCCCATCACCCAGGCTGGATGTTTAGATGTTCTTGGCCACTCGGAAGAAGGTTCGAGTCGGGCCAGCCGCACAACTGGGTGACTCTAGAAAGGGTTGGCGAAATGACTCGTGATCCGTCCCCTTTCGGGCATTCGCTTTACCTCTCCTTGAACACGTCTCCTCTTGCGACCTCTTTACATAATTCCGTAGTCGGCTTGACCCTGTACACAGATGCATTTGGTTTCTTGGGCGATTCCATGTCCGGCCGCGTCGGTCTTCGCAGGTGTCCTCGGGCATGTTGCAATATCCAGATTGCATTGGGCATACGCGTATGTGTGTGTATGTGTGCGTGCGTGCGTGTGTGCGTGTGTGCGCGTGTGCGTGTGCGTGTGCGTGTGCGTGTGCGTGTGCGTGTGCGTGTGCGTGTGTGCGTGGCGTGTGTGTGTGTGTGTGTGTGTCCGTGTGTGTGTGTGCGTGTGTGCGTGCGTGCGTGCGTGCGTGCGTGTGTGCGTGTGTGTTTGTGTGTGGGCGTGTGCGCGCATGTGCGTGTGCGTGTGCGTGCGCGTACGCGTGCGAGGGCGCGTGTGCGTGGGTGCGTGTGCAGGTGTATGTATGCATGAGTGTGTGAAATTGCAGACGTACTCAGCCCACATTATGTTTGCATAGGGTATTTGTATTGTTAAGTGTCGTGCGTTCTTGAAACGGGTGCAAGGTGCCCCTGGTCGAAACGGGCGGCAGGTCCAGAGAACGCAGACGAACGCAGGGGCGGCGACTTGGAGATCTGGAGAGGGCGATGACTTGGCGAGTGAGATGATCCAGAGAGGGCGCGAAACATGCAGCAAGGCCGGCTGGCGTGTCCCTGCCTCCTTGCGCGAGGCGCCGCCTCCGCCACCGCCTCCGCCGCCCGCTGAGCCGAAGGCGACCAGCAGGATCGAGCGCTCCCGCGGCCCTCGCGTCCCCTCCAGCCCTCCCAGATGGGGTCTGCGTAGATGGGCTCGGCAGATCGCGCCGCATCGCCGATGCATTCGGCGATGCGGCGCGATGTGCAGACGGAATTCTTCCACTCGGAAACCTTGCCCGTGAGAGTTGACGAGAAAAGTGACGAAGAGACACATGTAGCGGCAACCAGGGTGAGGAGAGAGATTGTTGGGAGCAACGGGTGGGTTTGGAAGGCCTCTTCGGGCCATCCTTGGGGCCCGCGTGGGGGCGAGGGAATGGTGAGGAAGAGGAGTAGGAGGAAGACGACGACCATGACCACGATGACGAGGAAGAGGAGCAACAGGGAAAGGATGACGATGAGGGCAAGGACGAGGACGAAGAGGAGGATGTGAAGGTGGATCACAAGGACGAGGACAGAGCCCTCATAATCGCCTCTAGGAACCCCCTCGGGACTTTTGGGGGGATCTCGGGGTCGTCCTGGAGTTCTTTTGGGGGGTTTGGGGGCCCTCTTGGGACCCTCCTGGACCCCTCCTGGGGGTTCCTTGTGTGAAGATGGGTGTGTTTTGCCTGTATGTGTGCAGCTAGAAACGCAGTAGATAGGCAGTTGGGGAGAAGAGACAGCATGATAGATGTTGTGGCCATGTGTCTCAATGGTTTCAGGCGATCCCCTTTTGAGCTATCAGCGGTAACACTTTATCAGATGTTTGCCACGGCGGTTCCTTGATTTCATCCAGCTGATTGTGCGATGTCGTTGACTTCATCTATATTGCTCGAATCCGCCGAGCTTACGTGCGGAAAGGAGAATACGACTGGTCAACCTCCATGCCAGTGATACTGGTAGCGGAGCAGTCAACGAAGGACGGCCTATGCTGAATGGGTTCGTGTCTTCATAGTTGTTTTCAAGACCAGGTCTTTGCGGGCAGGCAAGTACTACTGCGGGGGTGAGAATTTATTATGCGATCGTGCGCGTGACGACTACGAGTTGCCTCATTTCGAGTCCACGCAGCAGTACGATTTCATCGAGAGCGGTTCAGATTTGTTCGAGAGCAGTTTAGGTTTCCCCGAGAGCAGTTCAGATTTCACGATGGCTAATCTCCGAGATCCAAGGTCACACGTATGGTTGGATAAAGACAACATTCCTTGATTTGATGGAGACACAGCCGCAGCTGAATAATGGGATGAACGAGTACCGCTAGGGTTCCCGGGCATGGAGAGTGCCGAGAAGAAGAAGGGTTGCATTGCCAAGGTCAAGACTGGCCTCCGCGGGCGAGCGTGGACATTATGCCATAATGCCGATACGATCAGCGTCAAGGCATAGGCCGAGCAGTTTCAGAAAGGGGGCACTCTGGCGGAGAGAGAAGCACCTGTGGGCCAGGCACTGAACACACTCATCAAGCGCGTGCGCTCTCATGTCGGGAAGGTGCCCCCCTTGCACAATCACAGGGCGTTTCCATATTACTTTCGACGCGGGCACCGGAAGCCAGGAGAGCCGAAAACATATTTTTTACAAGGGCGGACGGACGCGTGCGAGACGCTGAGAGGCCCCACGAACGGCCAAACGCAGGTGTCGGAGGATATCAGAACGTTGTTCTTGCCCGACATGCGTGGCACTACGGAGGCTCAGCGCGAGACGTTTCTAGGCCAGCAGGCTCAGAATGAGTATGACTGGGATGCGATATGCGACATCATCGAGATTCGGCCCGACAGCAACGACGCTCGAGGTGGCCGAGATCACGAGCGCGATGGCGGAGCACGGCGGTTCAGGTGGAACGCAGCCTTCGGCGCGGATCTCGAGGAGGAGATCGAGGATGAGGAGACAAAGGGGGATCGCGGAGGAGACGCCTGCGAAGATGGCGACAGTGAGATGGCTATTTCGTCGGCGGAAATGGGGGGGCTCGAGACGGCGCTTGCAGCGGTGGGCGTCGCAGACCTATCGGAAGAAGAAGTGCAGAAGTTCGCGGCAGAGGCACGAGCGGCAGTTGGAACAGTCGCGGCAAAAGGGCATTGACGCGGCAGGGGGGGGCCGAGCTCATCGAGCTACAGCCGGCAGCGGCAGCTCATCAAAGATGGCAAGACGAGCCGAGGTTTTCGACAGGGCAAGACCTACATCGATTTCGATGGTGTGATCAGTTTCGGCACCAAGGAGCTCCGAGACAAGCTCGGCGCTTTCCAGATGCAGAGCAAGGGCAGCGCGCGCCGCGAGGCGGGGCGTCGACGCTGGGCTGGCGACCCAGAGTGCAGCAAGACAAGGAAGGCAGCCAGCCAGAAGCCGCAAGGATCAGGACCAGGAGCTGGGCGAGGGCGCCCCGGGGGATTTCTGGCGCGCGCCGGCCCGGCAGCGGCTATGCTGGCATCGGGGTCCGGGCGCCGGCGGGAGTGCAAAATGACAGTGCCCATCGCGAGTCGTCCGGGTGACCCGCCCAGGGCGACCGATGACGTCTGCGAGGAGTTAGTCGACGCTATGGTGGCAGAGCAGGCGGTGCCTCCAGGCTGCGTGGCCCTGGGCACTGCGGCTCTGGACCCAGTCGGCGGCGACCGAGCTATCGGCGGGCGCCCGGGGGAGTTCGCGCTCGCAGATCTACAGATGCCCAGGGGGGCGATCTTCAAAGGCACCAACACATCTGCCCCGATCAGGGCAGGAAGTGCCCAGGCAGGGAAGCGCCGAGTGGCATTCAAGGGGGAGGTTGCGCGCTCAACTTCGAGAGGTTGCCGAACTCCGACGCGCCGGAACTCGTGGGCGTCGACCAGATTGACGCCCTGGACACGCCCATTCGCGCGAACACACAATCAGGTGCTTTTGAGGGCGATTTCAGACGCGCCAGTGAAGATCACGCGCTCTAAGAAGAATCGCCGGATGGTCAACGTCGCGGACCATCGGCGCGAAGGCGCTGGGCGCCTGGGCAGCAGAAAGGGGGCGAATCAGACCAGACTCAGAGCAGCAATATCGCGCAGGCAGATATCGGCATCGCAACGAAGTCCCGGAAGAAACAGGTGGATGCGTGGATGGCCGACCATGCGCGAGAGATGAAGGCTACGTGGAGTGTTCTACGCGTTGATCGCCATTTACGGCGCGGACATTTACGGCGGTCAGTGTGTTGTTACTGGTCTGGCGACGAAGTATGGTATGAGAACCCGAACATGCAAGGATCTACGCACTCGGGCGATGATCTGTGACTGTCCAGTGCGCAGGCAGAGGCGATGAGGGAACTCGAGTTTGAAGACCGACCCAAATCTCACGATCGCGCCGTTTCCTGGCGACGCATGGTCAGCAATGAACAACTTCTTTCCGCCGAAGGAGAGACGGCGACGCCAAGCCAAGGCATTCGCGCATGTTCAGCTTGCGCTCGCAATCGTCAGGCGTCGAATGGGGCGCGGGCGTCGCGCATTACCGGGGAGCCCATTGTGTTCGCATGTTTGGGGCCTCATCAAGGATGAGCTGCCACCGGGACTGATTTGGGTTCGACGTGATCAGTGTGCCTTTGATTTGCGAGATGATCGTGGAGATCTACTTCAGAAACCAAGGAGATTCGCAATTTCAGCAGCGGCGCTGGCATGTGCACCTGCGCTTCGGCGTTCACGAGATCACGGACGTGTTCAAGTTCAAAGACGCGGTGGCAAGCCACGTGCATTTTCAACATGGACAACAGATCTGGCTGAGCGGATTCGAAGGTGTCCAGCAACATCATGAGTTCGAGAAGCTACTGGGGAGGCGAGACTATCCTGGGAGTTCTCACCACCGTTGACACATACCCCGCCACAGGTTTCACATGAACCTCAGGAATCATTATGGGCGCGCATGCGGAGTGCGGAGACCTACGCCGACTGGCATCGAGGCAGCACTCACGGCAGCGATCAAGAAGTTTCATTTCCACGTTCTCATGCACTGCGCGGCGAAGAGCTTGCCCGATTCATTCGGACTGGTTGGGGATCACCAGCAGCGATCTCAGCGGCAAAGCTTTTCAAGTGTTAGCTATGCGATTCTCAACGGCGATCGCCAGCGCATCTTATTGCAAGCCTACCGAGGTGGATGCGATTGAGTCAGCGCTTGGGCATGGACATTGCGTGTGTGCCAGACTTGGGTGGGAATGTGCGCGCTTTCCTGGGCATGCTTGACCTTGCTACCGACTTTGCAGCACCCCCATGGATGATCAGCGGTGGAGATCGGATGCCATGTCCAACGCCAGCCCATGCGAAGACCGTTCCCAACGAGGGGTGGCAACGCAATCTGCTCACCCTGGAGAGGATGCAGATTGGCCAGGGCGCAGCTTTTCGCTTTGAGTTTGAGACTATGTGCCAGGATCTTGGAGTGTCACGCATTCCAGTTGCTCCTGAAGAGCATCGCCGACATGGGAAGGTTGAGCGCAAGGTCTGCTTCTTCGAGGAGATGGCCACCAAGTTTTTTTTTTTCGCGAGCTGGAGGTCAGAGTTGACGAGGGTGTCCGTGTTGCCGGAAGCCAGATTGCTCAGACTACGAACCGACTCGCCAACAACAAAGGGTTCAGCCCAGCACAGTGGGCACTTGGCGAGAACCCCTCGCGACCGGCATCTCTTGGAAATGTCAGTGGCGATCCCGCGGTTGCTGGGCAAGTTGCTCGGGGATCGCCCTTGCTGCGCCGACTGCGACTGCAAGAAGCTTGCGAGATTGCGTTTCACCAGTCAGCCCACAGTTTAGCTCTACGACGAGCTGCGCTCTCAGAGACACGGCCTCAGCCTGGACCTGTCGAGCGAGGTGAATGGGTTCACTATTGGCGCACAGGTGGAGGCAAACGCGAAATGCATCGGAAGTGGCAATGGCCAGCTCGAGTGAATGGCAAGGATCAGTTTGGATGATGGTTAATGCGCGATGGTATCCCGATTCTGGCGGGGCCGAGTATCTCGAGGAGATCGACGATCAATGGGATTGAGGATCGAATTCTTGGAGAGCAGCGCGAGTGGCATGGGTTCCTCATGTTTTTGCGCGGTTTCGCTGATCTTCGGAACGCAACATTTG